AGTAGAAACTCAGTAAAAGTTCTCTCCCACCCTGTGCTCTGGAAATGACTTTAAACCTCCATACTCCACCATTCTCTTCCATAATTAACCTTTCCCCCCTTTTTCACTAGTGATTCAGGACATTATTGAAAGGGTTTTGGCCCAGGCTGGATACTGTAGCCGGTAAAGCCAAGGAGCTCCTATCTCCCTCCACCCTTAGGTGGAGGAATTACCTCTGGCGCCAAACTAAGACCAATGGGCTACCTGTGCATCCCTAATGCCCCCTTAGGATCCACCCCAGGCCGAGGCTACTTATGTGCCTCACTCCAGGTGTTCCACGGAGAGATCGCTGACCCCAGGGTGGAGATGCCAGGCCCCAGGGGATGGGGGTGTCTCTCCCCGCATTCCCAAAATAAAGGTTATTTATATTTCATACTTCTTATCTTTTCAGCCGCTGCCGGTCCTCCTCCTCCTCCTCTTCCTCCCCTCCACACTTCTATCAATTATTACAGTTGAAGCTATTTTCAGCAGGTAAATTAAAATACTAGATTGTTTATGAACTTCTCAAGTTTCTGGAAAAGTTCAGATCATCCCAGGTTACGCCACAGCCATGAGCGTGAATGCAGGGTCCCCATTTCCTGGATGCCTGGGCTACATACATCTTCCTTTCCACTTTCCATCTTCCCGAACGCTGTCTTTAAAAAGCATTTTTAAACATTCATGGAATTTTGGTTACGTCTGTCATAACTAGTTATTATAACGTGGAAACCAAGAAAAGAACTATGTTGCCTTTATCAAGAGATAAACTATTGTTAGTTAGAAAACAGTAAAAAAGAACAGAAATGAGAGTTGAGTGTTTTAATGTCAAAGCCAACATTTTGAATAGCATCATCATAAATTACTCATCAATTGATCTCCTTTGTCTGTCTCTTTTGCTCTGCTCACTCTCTTTCCTTGTCTCCCTCTCTCACAACCTCTCTTTCCTTTTCTCTCTCACCTTGATCATGTTTTCATTTGCCCCCTTCCTCTCCTCTTTGGAGCCTGTGTCTCTGTCTCAGCCTCTTAATCTCTCCCATTGGGTTTCTCCATATCTGTTGGTTCTTTTTCTTTCTGTCATTCTGAAAATCCAGGTTGAAAGTTAGAAGATCAAAGCTGAGCACGTGACTATTAGCTGTCTTTTGTGTAAATGTGCATGTGATCAACAGTCTGTAGTGATTTGCTTTTCCAAGTTAACGCTATGAATTGGCAAGCTGGCTCTTAGAATCCCTCAATCTCCCAGGGACTTGGGAGGTCAAGGAGCACTTGACCATCACACACACAGCAAATACAGAGCCATCTCCTGAGCTCACACAGGGAGGAGGCAGTCACTCTGAGATGCAGCATTCACGCTAAAGACCGATCAGAAGGAGAGGGGTGAAAAGACTCGGTCGGGGTTGAGGTCAAGTCACTTACACACCTCCTCCGCCCAGCTCTCCTCCCATCTTGTACTGATTGCAGTGCTGGGTGTCAGAGGTAGATCCCCTGGGTTAGAACCATCAGCTCTTCCAGAAGACACATAAATTCCACCTATGTAGTTCTAAAATCACCAAGCTGATCATTCAATTTATATACAGTATCAAGTGTTCATTTCAGAGCTTCTATTTCAGTCCCACTGACCTACCGGCCCTTGACATGTGCTTTGCCGGGGCCCTCCAAGATGTAAGAGTAACTTTTTAGCACTTGCAGAAAAAGCAATTGAAGTTCATTTCTCCCAGATTACCAGGCCCCATCAGAAATGAAAACAACATCAAGCAGGCATCAAGCAATTTTCAAATATCCATCCCTGTCAGTGGAAAGTGCCTGCTACAGCGACCAGTGGATCAGACCAGTCCTGGAGCACCAGTTTCTGTTTCTCAACACGTTATGCTGCATTGTGTGAGGGTCCCCGAGAGCATGTGGATGTCACCAGGAAATGGAGACATCTGGATGGATCGGCATAAGGTTTTAAAATTTTTTTTTCATATCTCAAATTTTTCATATCATTTTTACATAAACCAGTGCCAGTTTCAGAGGGCGACTGTTGGTAGCTTATCCCACATTATCACAGTTTTCAAAAGAGGGGAAGATCTGGACTTCCTAGAAGAAGAGCATCATGTGTCCTTGAAGAGGAGATGCAGAAGGGACCTGCCTAGTGAAATGTGCGATTGCCTTGTTCAGGGTCCTGTTTTCAGATTGCCTCAGACCATGGCGCCCTCTGAGCTGCACCTACTGCTTCCTCCATCCCATAAAGCTCCCCCAGTGGTGTGCGTAGCTCCTATCTTCTGTTCTCTGCTTCGCCCTTCTTTCATTTCTTTCCACTGCTCTCTCTCAATCAAGTTTACAGGAAGTAAATTTCTGTTTGAGCACTTGAAAAAATGGATGCTCTGGCCAGTAGCCCAAGGTCAGTTTAGAGACAGCACAGTATTGTTAAAGTACTGTGACCTATATTTTCAGAAATTTCTTCTCTATGATGATAGGAACTGCTAAGCCAGTCCTTGTGCCTAAAGCTCAGTGTCGGGTGTCTCGGAACTTCACAACCTCCACTACAGATCTGAAAAACAAATAAGATTTGTTACTATGTGCTTTTTAAAAATCAGAAACAAGCTAAACCAGGTGACTCAGATATGTATCCCCACAATTCTGGGAGACTGAGCAGGAAGATTCCAAATTTGAACCCAGCCTGTCAACTTAGTGACTCAGTAAGACAGGCAGGCAGACAGATGATAGGGCAAAGGCTGTATGTAGCTCAGTGTGAGGACATTAGGTTTAAAAAGGTAAAGAAAAAGAACTGCCAAAGACATTAAAATAGCCTGACTCTTTCAGCCATATACCTTTAAATAATCTTCTGTCTCTCCTCCAGCTATCCCTTCTCTCCCACCTCTCTAGGATAAATATCAGTAGTAATGTGGCTTTCATTTATCCCAAGTAGATATTTAATCACAGATAGTGTCTTAGACATGGTGCACAAAGCAAACCACTTACAAGACTTGCAGAAAAGTATACACCAGTGAGAATCGTGCTGTTAAGTTCCATAGTTCCTGGAAAATCTGATTTGGGTGTTGTGGGAAGAAGGGCACTAATATTTTATTGTTTACACGGTAATAGGCAATCGTGTGTGAGATGTGGGATTTGAAAGCTTGTTCGCTCTGATGGTCCAGGTGGGGTAATGCTCTCATCCTCCCCACCCTGAGGTTTGCATCACTGGGGGAAGGCGCCGATGCTTGGCTGCCGTGGATGCTGCAGGGCCACCCTGAGTGCTCGCACAGCTCCAGCCCCTGGTGCCCATCCTCTCCTGCTGCCCACATTGCCTGCTGCCACTCTCAGCCAAATCTCTCTCTGGAAAGTTTTGTTCTCAGATTAAAAGAATGACATCTATTATTGGGCATGGTGGCATACACCTGAAATCCCAGGACTCTGGAGGCTGAGGCAGAAGGGTCATCATGAGTTTGAAGCCAGCTCAGATTATGTAGTGAGTTCAAGTCCAGACTGAAATTAGTGAGACCCTCTCTCAAAAATTTAAAAGAGAGAGAGAGAGAATGACCTTTGTCAAGGTTAGGCCCCTTCTGGGTGAGCAGTTATATTCAAAATCTAGTGAATTGGAGAACCATAAAAACTGTGTACACCTCATTTGGCATTTCCTTTTAAAATGACAAGAAAATGGTTTCTGCTTCTTATGTCTTCACTCCAGAGCACAGAGGTGGTGTCTGGGGAGACCAGGGCAGTGAGGGAAGGGAAGTGACACAGTGGAAGGGGAGGTACCAAGTCCGGGTGGGAATCCTGGCTGACCAGGAAGAATGGCTGGAAACTCCGCAGGTAGGGAGCGTTAGGTTGGCCCTGCCCATCAAGGATGAGAGATGGATTCGGACTCAGCATCCTGCCTCCCAGCCCGCTATTCCTGCCCTCATCACTTCCTTGAGGCTTGGGCCTCTTGCCCCAACTCGAGGTGTCCTGAAGGGCCAGCCTGCCCCAGAGATCCCCATGGACTGGCCAAGGCCTTCATGCTCCCAGATTGTAGTTCTTTTCCTCCATCTGTGCAGCTTTCCTTTTCATCTCTACAAGTACAGCTCCTAAGAGACTCCTCTAAGTGTCCTGCTTGTGAATTCCAACTCTGGAGGCTGCTGAAGACACTCTCATCTGGTAACGTGCCAGAGTTGTAGAGTGCCATTGCTTGCTCCCAACAAATGAAGCTCAGGAAAGTCCAGAGGCTTTCTCTGCCTCTGTTTTGTAGGGGTAATTCCTGGGAGGTATAAAGGTGTCCATAGATGGCTATTCCCAAACACATTTTCCCAGAGACTATTCCTCCGCTTCATTTCACCTTCCATCATCCATTATTATTCCCTGACCACAAAACTTGCTTTTCTCCCTCAAACCTGCTTTTGCAATGCTCCCGTTACAGCAGTGAGGGAAGGGACAGGCAATATATGTCACAACCTAGGCACTTCCGCCTTCACTTTGTCTCTGTACTATAGCACGAAAGGTGGTAGTGACAGAGGGACATCAGACAGACCCTGGCCAGCACCTTCTAATGCTCACACATCTGGTTTTCAAGCAGAATTGCATCAGCACCAAAGCGCCAGTCTCCTTTGCAGAAGGCAAGATCCTCAGGTCAATAACTCTGCAAGCATAGGGAACACTGCGACCTGAACCACTTCCTGCAGACAGTGAGAAGGTCCCTGGACCCTCTCCTCAGATCCACAAGACCCTCAGAATTCTCCTGGACCCCCAGTCCCATGGCCAAGCAGGATGCTCTTCACTTTCTGCCATGAAAGCTCTCTGAGGTCTACTCGGGGCTTACTGTGCCAGCTGCCAAGCCCGGTGTGCCACCTCACCCGGACAGTTGCTGGCACCAGGTGACTCCTTTGCCCAGCCTCAGGACAGGTGTTAAGGAACCGAAGTTTCTTAGGTACTGTGCTCATTTTTGATCTTTGTTTTAATTACACTTCGTGTTCTGAGCTTGACTTTAAATGACCTGTTTTTGAAAAAAAAAAAAAATAGACTTCTCATTTGCTTGATGAATTAGTCATTTATTTTTGTTTTTCCCAAAGCTCATATGACATAGATTTGCCTTACAAGTGTCTTTAATATGCCAAGTCTACTCCCTGGAGTCCAGGTATGCTCCTTTCAGATCACCTCCCATCCTGAGGGAAGGGTACAAAGCATGCACTCAGGAGCAGGATCCCCCTCTGCCAGTTATCTGAGGCAGCTTCCTAAGCTCCACTCATTTGTACAATGGGGGTCTTAGTAGCAGGACTTTTGTAAAGAATTAGCAAGAAGGTTGATGTTGAAGTTGGCATATTAAATGTACTCGACGTGTGGATATTATTTTCCAAATATCATCATCTGTCCTCAATCAGTTACAGCCCAGAAATTTTAAAACAACTGTCTTTTGTGTTGCCTGATTATATTGTGGCAGGGAACAAAGAAAAATCCTTTTTAACATTTGAATATCACCCCCTTTCACAAGCAAATTTTTCTGCCTGTTAAGGAAGGGAACTGGAAGGTAAGTGCCCACTGTTCTTAAATTTGGTGTGAGATATTTCTCAACAGTTTGCAATTTGCTTCAGCGTTTCACCCCAGCTGCTATTAGGCGTTACTGAATGTCTAAGAAAGAGGTTAGTGTTGTGCATAAACCCTGCTTTTAAAAAGCTCGTGCAAAGGGTCAAAGACCAGGCAGGGCTCTCGCTGTAATTCTCATTTCCAGCTGAATCGAATATGGCAACAGGAATGTGGGCCTGAATCACATTATGTTCCGGGAACCTGTAACAGCCTCATAATGACCTGCGGCCCAACAGAAGCAAATTGCAAGTGATTTCCAAAGGATAAACTCTAATTTATAGTAAGCCAGTATTACAACTTAAACAGCTCATTTTGAAAGCCAAACTAAAAAGCTCATCGTCCTTGTGACGCTTTCTAATGCACCCCTTTGCACAGTACCTGGAAGCTGCTGTTTGCTGACAGGTTAAGTGTGTACTGTACACAGAGCGCCAACGCTCCTCTTTGTACCATGCAGCAATCAGGCCCGTTTTAGCAGCATTCTTATTATTTTAAGCTGTCTCCATTGTCTTCTAAACACCATAATTAAAAGCTGAAGAGCTCACAGCAGCCAAACCCAATAAGGTCTCATCCCCTGCAGCTCAACAAGTGACCCTGTGAAGCTGGGCAGCTGAATGAAGCTTTCACCTTTCCGTGGGTGAGGCCTCAAGTGCGTCAAAGTTGTCCCTCTCAGTATCATTTAACAGCTCTGTGTAAGGTGTCTCTGGGTTATAATTCTGTTCTCACTGGCGTCCTTGTTTTATTTGTGAAGCACTCATTTTCCTACGGAGAAGGGCAGGAAAGAAAAGTCATCTGCTGTCAACAGTGTAAAGTAGCCCTTATATGTGGAGTTGTGTTTTGAATATGAGTTGCAAGCCAAAGTGATTCAACTGATTGACAAAAGAAAATGACAGAGGTGATATTAGCCCCTACTCCCAAAAAAACCATATTCCACCCGCCAGATGACTGTATTTTAATGTATTGCTTTGCATGTTTTTTCCATTGGACTCATTTTCTGGAACTTTGCCACATGGTGAGCCCTGTGGGAGATGTAATACATCTAGTTTACCAGTCTTTTTCACCTGAGTATAATGGAGTACTTTTTTATTCCCTCTGTCTCTCTCTCTGAGGGCAGAAGAAAGCAGAGTATTAGAGAAGAAAATTCAAAGAAAAATTATGAAGCATTAGAAAATAAATCTACTCGAATGTTTTACCTGGGACTGTAAATTTCTATTTTGAACCCCCAGGTTTTGCACGATGCTTTGTCTGTTCATGTTGACTCTGAACTTGGGAGCATTTGGTGAGAGAGAAATGAAATGTGCTCTGGCATCCTGTAGCTATTTCAGGAAATGCGTTCCCATGATTAAGCAGACAGGAAGCTGCTTGGTTATGCAGTATTCTCATTTTAGCCAAGCATGTGAAATGTGGAAATAAATCTTGGATTTTTTCTTTATTTTATATTCTGCTGATGAAACACTGTAGTCTGAAAAATGAGCATGTCACAACTGCTTTTAATAAATCTACTTACCTGTCATATGTTTTCAAGATTTCCTGACTGTTCACTAATTACCAAGCTGTATTTCTCTTATTTCTCTAATCTTTAGAACACAATGAAGCGTATCAATCAGCATAAGCCTCTGGGAAGTTGATCATCTCTTCAATCCCCTCTCAGTGGCTGTTGGATGCCACGGCTCCCAGGCCACGACAGTCCCACAGGGCAACATGTCCTCTTCCTGTCCTTACTACATGGAGGCTCAGCTGAGACCTCCTTCCAACACCCCCACCCCAGGCTAAGCTGAGCTTGCTTCTGAAGCCCAAGCCTGATATTCATCAAGCAGAAAGTGGCTGTCAGGGCTATTTTCCTTTCTATGTCCATGTGGTTCAAAATTCGATGTGAGAAGTGTCCCCTGTAAGAATCGAGGCAGGAGGTGGGAGGAGTGACCCACTGACTGAACAAACTCTCTGGACAGAGCTTGGAGACTGCCTTTGTGGCTCTGTAAGTGGTTTAAGCCAAAGAGCCATTCCTGGGGTCCTTTTCTCTAAAACAGAGAACACTTAGCATATGATAAAGTGGTTCCATAATTGCAAATTCTGTCTCAAAACATGGGCACATTCTCTTTCCAGTGCCTAAATCTGGCCCAGGATCAGGCAGAGAGGAGGAAGAGAAAAAGGGAAACTTTGTCCATCCCTTTTGTCCACTGTCATGTCCACTGTCAGTGTGCAGGGTCCCTGGGGCCCCACCCTCAGCCCCAGCTGACCCAACAGCTCGTCCATCACAACCCCAGCTTCTTACCGTTCAGCAGCCCATAGCAGCGCCCAGACACCACAGACAGTCTTTCTGCCTCAAAAATAAAAAGGATAAAAAAAGAATCAAAACCGCCATATCCCAGTTAACTTTAATTTTAAAAATAAATCCGAAGTACCTACTAAACTCAAGGCCTTCCTTTTTGCTCCTCCTTTCTCCACATGTTAATTCCATTTGGATGCTCTCTTCCAGCGGACCTGAAAGCCTCTGCAGCAAAGGCAGAGGCCACAGAGACCTTGTGAAAATGTCATGCACCTCTGCCTAGAAAAAGCCTGTACTCTGAACATTCAGGTGGAGATCTCATGTCACAGTCTGGAAGGAAGGGACATGGCAAAGGCTCCTTTAAAAAAAAAAAAAAAACAATAATAATAATTAAGTTTAATGGTAGACTTTAGATATACAAAATGATCACATTCCTCACAGGCAATTTGTATCACTACATGACACAACTTAATTCTTTTTTTTTTTTTTCATTCCCCTATTTTCTCTTCAACCCCTCTTCCCATCCTTATTTATGAAAATTTTGTTTCATTTTTTTCCTTCTTTTCTCGTAATTTTTTCCCTTCCTCCCTCCACCAAGTTCCCCTTCCAATTTGAATATTTTCTTCCTATTTCACAGTATCTGTTACACATTTTGTTCCTTATTTACACTTTTTGTTTTTTCACACTAGAGAAACAATGAGATGTTCACATGTATGTGTCTGATTTATTTTACCTAAGAGCATGGTTTCAAGGTATATCCATTTATCTAGGAATGTCTCAAATTTATCCTTCTTTATCATAGAGCAGTGCTCTATTACATAAAAAACTCACATTTTGTTTATCAATCAATTGATGGACATTTGACTGCTTTCAATATTTAGCTATTACAAACTGCTGTTATAAATATGAGTATGCGTATACTATTGTGCTATGATGCTTTTAAGTCTTTCGGTAAGATACCAAAAAAAGGAATAGCTGGGTCAAATGGAACCTCTAATCCTAGATTTTTGAGGAATTTCCACACTGATTTTCACAGTGGTTGTACCAGTCTATACTCCCACCCACAGTGCAGAGGAGTTCCTTTTTCCCCACAGTTCTGCCAGCATTTGTTATTGGTTGATTTCTTAATAATAGCCGTGCGTTCTGGGGTAAGACAGAATCTCAGTGTCATTTTAATTTGCCTTTCAACACTATGTGTTGTTTCTTCATCCTGTTAGTGGTTTCTCTTGCTGTGCTAAAACTACTTAAAATGAAATCCCAGTTGTTGATTCTTTGTGATAGTCCCTTTGAAATTAGGGTCTCTCTCTACACCACTGTTTTCAAGAGTTCTGCCTATTCTATCTTGTAGCAGATTTAGTGTTTCTTTTTTAATATTTAGATCTTTGATCCATTTTGATTTTAGTTTAGTGCACCATGAGAGAAATGGGTCTAGTTTTAGTCTTTGGCATTGGAAAACCAGTTTTTCCAGCACTACTTGTTAAAAAGACTATTTTTCTTTCAGTGAAGGTATTTCACACTTTTGTCAAAGATCAGGTGGATAAGTATGTCTGGAGTTGATTCTGAATCTTTTAATCTGTTAACTGACCCTTGTTTTTAAATTTTTATTATTTTTATTTATTGCCAGTACCATGCTGTTTTTATAGTATAATTTCAAGTCGGGGATTGTGATGTCCCCCACCTTGCCTTGGTTGTACAGAACTGCCTCTGCAATGCTAGGTCTCTTCTGGTTCCAAATGAATTTTAGGATTGTTTTCTTTAATTTTGTGAGATATGCTGTTGCAATTTTGATCAGAATTGCATTCAATCTGTGTAGCAATTTTGGAAATATGACCATTTTCACTATATTGGTTCTTCCTACCAAAGAACAAGAAATATTTTTCCATTTTCTGATATCCTCTTCAATATCCTTTTTCAGAACACTATAATTTTTAATGTAAAGGTCTTCTACTCCCTTTTTTAGAGTGATTCCTATTTCATTTCATTTCATTTTTTTTTAGAGGCTATTGTGAAAGGTGTTGTTTCCCTAATTTCTCTCTCAGTGAGTTTGTTATTCGTGTACAGGAATGCTATTGATTTTTTAGTGTTGACTTTGTATCCAGCTATGTTATGAATTTGGATATTAACTCTGGAAGTCTTTTGGTGGTTTTTGGAGTCTTGTATGTAGAATATCATGTCATAGGCAAATAATGATAATTTAACTTCTTTCTTTCATATTTTTATTCCTTTTATTTGTTTTTCTTATCTAATTGCTTTGGCTAATATTTTCAAAACCATGTTGAATAACAGTGGTGATAATCAACATCCTTGTATTGTTCTGGATTTTAAGGTAAAAGCTTTCAGTTTTTGTCCATTTGGTGTATGTTGGCTGTTTTTTTGTATCAGACTGAGACAAAGACCATCTATTCCAATTTTCTGTACGTTTTTATCATGAATGGGTGTTGGAATTTGTCAATTTCTCTGTGTCTATTGAGATGATAATGTGGATTTTGTCTTTGGCTCTTTTGCTAGGGTGTATTGAATTTATTGATTTGCATATGTTGGACCATCCCTGGGATTAATCCTAGTTAGTCATGATATATAGTCTTCTTGATGATTTGAGGAATTTGGTTTGCTAGTATTTTATTGAGGATTTTTGCATCTATGTTCATTAGGGAGACTGGCCTATAGTTTTCTTTCTTTGTTGCGTCCTTCTCTGGATGGGTATTGGAGTGATGCTTGAGTATTGCTTCCCTTTCAATTTCACTAAAAGTTTGAAAAGTAGCAATATTAGGTCTTCTCTAAATTTCTTGTAGAATTTTTGTGGAATCTGTCAAGCTCTGGGCTTTTCTTTGCTGATAGATTTATAATTACTTCTTTAATTTCATTAACTGATATTGGGTTATTTAAAATTTTTATATCTTCTTAATTCAGGCTTGATAATTCATATATATCTAAAACCTCCATATATTTATAAATCTCCATTTCTTCTGCATTTTCCATCTTATTAGAATACAAGTTCTCAAAGCAGGTATAGATAACCTTCTGAATTTCTAAAGGATCTCTGCAATTTCACCCTTTTCATTTCTAATTGCATAGTTTTGAGTACTTTCTTTTTTTTGATAAGGTTAGACAAAGACTTGTCAATTTTATTTAACCTTTCAAAGAACCAACTTTTCAATTCATTGATTCTTTGTATTATTTTCTTAGTCTCTATTGCAGTGATTTCTCTTCTGATCTTATCAATTTACTTCCTCTTATGAGCTTTGGCTTGACCTGCTCTTGTTTTTCTACAGTCTTGAGGTTCAACATTAAGTTGTTTATTTGAGCTCACTCAGTTTCCCTAACATAAGTTTCCTTCTTAGGATTGCTTTTGTTGTATCCCATAACTTCCAATATGTTGTACTGTCATTATTGTTTATTATTATTATTATTAATTATTCTTTAATTTCATTCATGACTCATTCATTGTTCAAGAGAGTGTTATTTGATTTTCATGTGTTTATGAAGTTCTTATAGTTTCTTTTGCCATTAATTTTCTCTTTTTGCCATTAATTTTCAATTTAATTGTATTATGGCCTGATGATATGCATAGGATAATTTCAATTTTAATTTCTTCTCATTTACTTAAGCATGTTCTATGAGCTAGAGTGTGCTCTCGTTTGAAGAACATTCTGTGTATAGCTGAGAAGAAAGTGTATTCTGTTGTGGGATGGAACACTCTGTACACATGTACTAATTCCATTTGTCTGAAAGTTTGGTTCAGTTTTCGTATCTTTTAGTTGATTTGTTTGTCTAGTTGATCTGGCTATTTGTGACAATAGAATGTTGAGTTCTCCCATTACAATCTGTTAGTGCTTATTTGATTTTCCATATGTGTTAATATTTGTTTTATATAGGGCCTGCCTGACAAGTGTGAGGTTGTGAGTTCTACGCCCAGGACCAAACTGTATATATTTGCCTTATATAGTTGAGTACACTTGTATGTGGTGCATGTGTATTTATGATTTTTATCTCTTCCTCTTGGAGTTTTCCCTTAACAAGTATGTAGTGACCTTCTTTGTCTCTCTTAATCAGTTTTGGTCTGAAGTCCACTTTGTCTGCAAATAGAATATCTATGTCTGCTTTTTCTGTGTTCCTATTGAATAGAATATTGTTTTCTACCCTTTGACTTTCAATCTATGAATTTCTTTTCAAATTAAATGTTTCTTGTATGCAGCATACTGTTGGCTCTTGGTGCTCAATCCATTCTGTCCATCTGTTTCTTTTGATCAGTGAACTGAGATCATCTGCATTGAATATAACTGGTATGTATTGACTCATCCTTGTCATGTTATTTTCTTCTTGCTGACTCCCTTTTTGTCCCCCCCCCCATTTAATTGTTTGCCTTTGCAGGTGGATTCATTCTGTTGGTATTCACGCAGTTATAATCTTTGTTATCTCTTAATAAAATGTCCTTCAGTACATTTTAAAGTACCAGTCTAATGTTTATGAATTTCCTGTGGTGCTCTTTTATTTCTCCTTCCATTTTGAAAGATACTTTTATGGAATACATCAATCTGGGTTGAAGGTTGTTTTCTCTTAGGGTTGAAATACTTCACTCCTCGCTCTCCTTGATTTGAGGGTTTGTGTTGAGGAGTTTGCCATGATTCTGATGGTCTTTCCTTTATAAGTGATTTGTTTCTTTTTGCTGACAGCTTTTAATATTCTATTTTTGTGTTGAATTCCTGTAATCATAACTACTATATATCTTGCTGTAGATTATTCTGGATCATGGTTAATCAGAGTTCTGTATGTTTCAATTATCTGTATGTTAAATTCTTTTCTCTGCTAGGGAAGTTTTCTTCATTGATGTCTGTTAACAGGTTTTTTATGTCATTTGCTTTTTCTTCAACTCCAATCAATTTTATGTTACCCTTCTTTGCATCATCTAGCAGCTGTTGGATTGATTTCTTGGGGCCCCTTCCTATTTTTAAGAATCCTTCTTTTTCCTGATCACTAACTGCTATCCTGTCTTCTATTTCTGTGATTCTATCCTCACATTGGCCCATTCAGCTGCATATAGTTTCAGTGGAATTTTTAATTTCATGGATACCTGTTTGAGTCTGTTTCATGGATTCTGTGTCCTTCCTGTGCTGAGCATTCATGATTTCCATCATTTTCCTAAGCTTCTCGATTATTTTTATCAATCTCTGCTCTGGAATCACTAAGCATGTCTTTTCTTATGGTTATGCCTGCAGTTACCTGAGAAATTATTTCTGATTTGAATTTTTCTAGAGCCTAGTTCATTTGCTTTGATGCTACAGGTTTGCCTTTGGTGAGCTCGATGTCTGTGGTTGCATTTTGTATTTGTCTTTTCACTTCATGTTTTTTTGTTCATTT